ACGCTAAACAAGAAAACATGATTCTCCCTTGGACACGGTCATTCAAAACATTTTGTTAGCACTGTACTTTTAACATGTCATGTTTTCCAACCTCTCTGTTAGTCGTCAGGGGCGGCTCCTGTAGTGCAGTGGAGGGGCAGGAGGGAAAGCCAGTAGGCAGAGAGACAGCAAAGAGGAGCAAGACGCAGAATGCCTCTGTTCTTCAAGAAGAGGAAGCCCAGCGATGACTCCCAAAAGAGACTGGAATATCAGCTGTGCCGGGTAAGAAGAATGTGTACAGCCGATAACCTCCAGTCACTGCCTCACATAATCAGCAACCTGCAGCCATTTTTTAATGATTAGTATTGTGAGATTATATTTTGTCATCCATGAACAATGCATCACCAAAGCGCAGAGCTTTTTTTTATTAATTTTTAGTTAACATAACAACTACTATGTTTTCTCTCTAAATACTATGACCTCTATTTCAAACAAACCCAGTAACTCTCATTCCTTGCTCCTCAGTCTAAGGAGGCAGGTGCTGATGACATCCTGGATATCTCAGCTTGTGAGCTCTCAGAGGTGAGTATGTGTCTGTGAACAGTTGTCAGACAAGCGTTACTGATTGCGGTAAAGAACCAAATATGGTCTGAGAGATGGGATCCCATTGAGCTGTTCTGGGAGGATCACTCAGGATGGATGTTAATACCAGGTCTGAATGGAGTCTGGTCAAACATATGCAAATATATCAGTGGCGAACCTTTGCCTCCTGTTCACTTCCAATCTGTGCGAGCGAGCAGACGAATAAAACATTCACTTCTTGTGGCAAGGCAAACCGCAGCTTGGCTTTGCATGGAGTTGAACTCAAGTGAACATTGACGTGCAATGTTCACTCTGCATTTACCAATGTATGACTGGCAGCTGTGGCTGAGGGGTAGAATCAGAATTGGGTTTATTGCAGTAGGTTTACGCATACATTGAATTTGCTGTGGTGCGTTTGTGCAATTATAAATATAGAAAATATAAAAAATAGGAAACAAACATTAAATAAACTATGGTATTACTAATACTATAGGCAAATTAAAGACATACTTTAAGCGGGAGGGATTGTGCAAAATGTACAGTTATTGTTATTCGTGAAGTGTCAAAGTCACAGGCAGGGACATCAGTGCAGTTTGGTTATAGGGTCCCAGGCCTTATTGATGAGGCCGGCAGCAGTCGGGAGGAAACTGTTTTTGTGGCGTGAAGTTTTGGTCCTGATGGCCCGCAGCCTCCTGCCAGAGGGAAGTGACTTAAAGAGTCCATGTCTAGGGTGGGAGGGGTCGGCGACAATCTTACCTGCACGTCCAGAGTCCTGGAGACTTATGTGCCTTTTCTCTTAAGTTCTTGGTGGTATTTCACCAAAACTGATGATGTGGCTAAAATAAGCTGATGCTTTATTGAATAGATAACCTTCTCGGTGGAGCGATGATGTGCTGCAGTCTGGCCCGGTCCTTGGCTGTAGCAGCAGCGTACTATACGGTGATGGATGAGGTTAGGATGGACTCAATGATGGCAGTGTAGAAGTTCACCATCATCTGCTTTGGCAGGTTGAACTTCTTTAGCTGCCACACGAAGTACATCCTCTGCAGGGCATTTTTGGTGAGGGAGCCGACGTTCAGCTCCCACTTCAGGTCCTGGGCGATGAAGGTGCCCAGGAAGCGGAATGACTTCACAGTGCCCACTGGAGAGTCACACAGGGTGTTGGGGACAGGCGGGACTTGGCTCTTCCTGAAGAAGTAGATCGGTGGTCCTCCAACCAGAAGGTCAGCAGTTCGATTCCAGTCTTCCCCATCTGCATGCCGAAGTGTCGTTGGGCAAGGTGCTGAACCCCGAATGGCCCCTCATAGAAAAAGTGCTGCCCATAGATGCACTGAATGAATGTGTTTGTGGATAGGTGGATGGCAAAACTGAACTGTAAAGCACTTTGAGTGGTCATCAAGTCTAGAAAAGAGCTTTATAAATACAGACTATTTACAGGCCATTTAACATTGTGCATGTATATGTGTCCTGGGCCACATTGAAGGAAAGCCTAATCAGCTGACCTCTCACCCTACAGTTGGCTCTTATCACCAAAAGCTCTTTGAGATCTTTCCAGCATCTTCTAGGTGTGTGGCTCTGCTTTTTCACCATAAGATATTTGTATCTTTTTATTTTTTATTTTTGCATCTGTCGCATGTTAGAAACGTCATCAACATGCCCACTTGATCGTGGGTGATCCTGTGGAGGAGGATCTTCTACTGTGTTCCTACATCAGCTGTTTCAGACATTACCCAGAGCTTTTATGAGGGAGCTGGAAGGAGAAACTCACATACTCTTCACATACATCCTCTGTAGGACGTCAGGATGTTATTTGGAGTTCAATGCATGTCTGAAAGTAGCTATAAGGAACTGAAAATATTATTTATCCTTCTCAGTGTTTCACATGAATTGTGAGCCCTTAGTAGTATTTGGACAGTGCGTACTCTATGGACAAATCAGAAGTCACTAAAGAGCTGTTGAAGCCGAACTTTACAGCTGATCGAGCTGAAACGTGACGGTTCATGGGAAAGGACAAAAGTGTCTCCTTGCAACTTAGTGTCTCCAACTGAAAATTCTATTTTATACATTACTGCTGCATCTGCAACAGAAACTCTCTTATAAATGTTTGTATGTATTAGTGTGTGGTTAGTTCTACAGATGATGACATTTGAGGTCTGCTCTGTTGCAGGTTCCCTCAAGTGCCTTTTCCATTTGCAAGGTTCTACAGAAGAAGGTAAGGATACACTGTGCAGCGGCAAAGTTACTGGCCATGTATTTGTTATCCACTTTATGTAATAAGTATTTTATTACTAATATCAGTGTCAGGACATGGACGTGGTTGACCAGTTTGACATATCCTCTGTTGTTCTCCTACAGGTCTTTATCATCCACAACAATGAGCTGAAGTCCCTGCAGCCCAAAGGATGTGACATCAGTGCCCTGTCCACTTTAAAGGTTGTGTAAACTAGACACACGCATGATGAGAAATAGAAGAATATGACAATGTTGTATGATTTACAAACCCTGCACAGTGCAGCACCTCCTGTTTCATAGTCCACTTTTAAGCAGACATTTAGTGACAGAAAATGTATGATATTTTAATAAAACGCCAGGTATAAAAATCCCTGACCAATGCCAGATCGTAGATAAGCATGAGTGACTCAGCCTGTCTGCCTCCAAAGGTTTTGGATCTGCATGAAAATAAGATCGTCTCGCTCCCAGAAGACATTGGGAAGCTGACATCACTGCAGGTAAAGTCCTTCTGAACTTGACTCACGATGCACAGAGAATGAGTGTGAACAAATGTTGCTCATCTGCTTGCGGCCATTTTGTGTCCTGTCAGATTCTGAATGTGGAGAAGAATCGTTTAAAGGTGTTGCCAGATTCCCTTGGGGACCTGCAGCTTCTGCAGACACTCAATTTGAAGGGTATGATGCTAACTGCCCGTTTTTCCACTAGTGAGAGGACACAAGGCCGTGTACAAGTGAAATGACGTTGGTTTTGTTATTTTTTAGTTTATTTAGTTAATTTCAGTGTAATCCTAAAACTATTTTACAAAACAATACACTTATTTGCATTTAATGAACCAAAAAGGAGCAAGAAGAAACTTTTACGTGTCACTTTCATATGAATAACATAACAATACATTAATCATTTACTATCATCATAACATTTCCTTATCACTTTGTATATAATAGGTAACTGTCTCAGTGAGCTGCCGTCATCAGTTGGCTCTTTGAGGAGCCTGCGCTCCCTGGACCTGAGTGAAAACAACATTGTCCAGCTCCCCAAACCTCTGGCCTACATCCGCACGCTAGAGGTGTGTGTTCTTGGATGAACATTTGCAGAAAGCTGTAAATCTAGATATGGCTTTACACAAACTGTGCGTGTGTGTCTTTGTTTGTGTGCTCTGACAGAGCTTTACACTTGATGCTGCCATGATGACCTACCCACCTGCATCTGTGTGCACAGAAGGCACAGAGAGCATTCAACGGTTCCTATGCACAGGTGAGAATTAATACACACACACACACACACACACACACACACACACACACAGTTTGTGTAAAAACATATCTAGATTTACAGCTTTCATATTCTGTCTCTGTTTGTTTTTT